TCACGAGCAATTGACAGAACCTTGGAATTCTTCTCAGATATGGAATTAAACATCCGGCCTACTCTTATTCTTGCCGAATCAAGCAACAAAAATAAACAAAGAAAAATGGCAACACACTTCCATAATTTGGCTGAAACTTAAGGCACTGGATTTTACAAATGGAACGTAAGTGCAAAAGAATTAAAGAAGATTAAAAAACATAGGAAACTAAAACTAACAGCAAAGGAAAGATAAAAATTGTTCACAAACCAAATTCCGATCCTTTGCGAAATATAACTTGTGAGCTTTATCGGAAAGGAAAATCTCCACCCTCTCGAAAATCTGAAAAAGCTAGTGAGAAGCTTAGACGCTTCCAACACGCACATATGGAACATATTACAATGCCTTAAAATGCACAAGTATTTGCACAAGTATTATGCACAAGTGTGGCAACTTTTACACAACCAATCGGCAATTCACTTTTAATCCCAATTCAAAAAAAATGAATTTTTTACTGCAACGCAATACATGGGATTTAATGACAACAGAACGCCAAAAAATTCATGTAACGGCATCATCTCGCCTAAAGAAAAAATTCAAAGAAAAAAACCTTTATAACCTTTTAACTTAATTATATTGATTTATTTATCTAAATTTTCACTTGTATTATCCAAAATATTTTGGTTTATAACCTTTTAACTTAATTATATTGATTAATTCATCTAAATTTTCACTTCCATTATCCAAAATATTTTGGTTTATAACCTTTTAACTTAATTATATTGATTGATTCATCTAAATTTTCACTTGTATTATCCAAAATATTTTGGTTTATAACCTTTTAACTTAATTATATTGATTGATGCATCTAAATTTTCACTTCCATTATCCAAAATATTTTGGTTTATAACCTTTTAACTTAATTATATTGATTGATTCATCTAAATTTTCACTTCCATTATCCAAAATATTTTGGTTTATAACCTTTTAACTTAATTATATTGATTGATTCATCTAAATTTTCACTTGTATTATCCAAAATATTTTGGTTTATAACCTTTTAACTTAATTATATTGATTGATTCATCTAAATTTTCACTTCCATTATCAAAATATTTTGGTTTATAACCTTTTAACTTAATTATATTGATTGATTCATCTAAATTTTCACTTGTATTATCCAAAATATTTTGGTTTATAACCTTTTAACTTAATTATATTGATTGATTCATCTAAATTTTCACTTCCATTATCCAAAATATTTTGGTTTATAACCTTTTAACTTAATTATATTGATTGATTCATCTAAATTTTCACTTGTATTATCCAAAATATTTTGGTTTATAACCTTTTAACTTAATTATATTGATTGCTTACCAAAATACAGAATAAACGTGGCGCGACTATTTCTACACTGTTGAGTGGATTACTTAGGCCCAATGAATGTGAAAGGAATGAAAACATCGACGGAAAAGGTTTATGGCGCACTCTTTACTTGCTTAGCTATTAGAGCAATCCACTAGGAATTGGCTACAGATGCTTCAGCAGAAACTTTCCTTCAAGCACATCGTCGTTTCATTGCAAGACGTGGCACACCTTCAATAATGGTCTCAGACAACGCTACAAACTTCACTCTTGGCTCAAAAATAATTGAGAAGATAGTTTGGGACTTATACTCTTACAAGGAACTGCAAGACTTCATCAAATTCAGAGGCAAAGAGTGGAAATTCATCACACCACGCAACCCATGAGAAGGAGGAGCCTGGGAAAGATTGGTTGGCGTGCCCAAAACAGCAAACAAAAGATGCAGTGGCAAAAAACTTCTGACTACAACTGAATTAACTACACGCTTTTGCGATAATGAAGCAATAGTAAACTCTCGACCACTTACAATTATGTCCGACAAAGAACCTTTGCATTCTCTTCGACTAATCGACTTCATTTGTCCATACTCTCCAATAGAAATAAATTTACCACAGACAGAAAGTGATAAAGATGAAGAATATACGCCATCCACAACAACAAAAAATGAATTGACCAAACAGTTAAAAAAACGTTCAATTGCATCTAAACAATTTCTGGAAATTCTGGAAATCCAACTATTTGTTTTCTCTTCGCGAAAAAATGCCTAAAGGATAAGGGGAAGCAAATATCGTACCTAAATAGGGAGACATTGTTCTCGTCGAAGATGAGAATCTGATTCCTCTCTATGGAAATCAGCTAAGATCGTGGAACTAATTCGGGGAAGGGACAATTTAATTAGGACAGCTAAAATTTTAATAAATGGAAACATTTTAAAAAGTATTAATAAACTTTTGCGTTTAGAAGTTCAACCCAAAGTGGGGTCGTTTAGAAGTTCAACCCAAAGTGGGGTTGAACTTCTTCAACCCAAAGTGGGGTTGAACTTCTAAACGAAGAACCCCACTTTGGGTTGAACTTCTAACCATAGCAACGTGTGACCAAGGATCAAGCGGAAGTTAGCAAGCTTCTTGATGAGCTAAACATTGAGGCCCTTCCTATAACTTTTTATAAGATGTGTTATAACAAAATCCTAGCACAAAAAGGCAAGTATAGACCTATAAAAATCGTGCTTCCCGCAAAATCTTTTTAGTGGCAAGCTTTGGGCATGTGGAAACAACGACGTCAACAAATTTGGAAGACCAAAGTCGAAATTTCAAAATAATTTTTTAGTACAATTTTGATTCTAAATTAATAAATTTGTTAAAACTAATTAATGAAATATAAAAATTAGTAGAACAAGTTTTTATTGCCATTATTAACGAAAATCGAGTTTGGCATCAGTGCCAAAATTGAGCCTTAAGAACGGGCTGATAAAAATTTAAAAAAAAATTTTCGTTGGGAATTTTCTATATAACCTTATTCTACAGATTTTCTCTATCAGAATCTATTTCAATTTTCGTTTACACATTAATTAAGAAGTGAAAATTACTTAGAAGTTGCCAAGTTTCAAAAATACAAATTTTTGTATTATACCTCTAAATCCTGCCAACTTAATCCTATGACGCCCAAAAATAGGCAACTCTCTTGGGAATATAAAGAAAAATAAATTACATTTCGAAAACATTTTGTTGAATTTTAATAATTATTTAATGCGCTTAACTCAAGGGGGTTCAATATTTATGTCTCAGCCTAAGTATTTTCCATTCCATGTAGAAGAAAAATTAATTTAAAATCATCAGAAGCAAAAAATTAACTTTTTTGATAACTTCTCTATCAGTAAGGTCTTTGAAAGTTATTTTATCGTTCCCAATTTTAATTTTTAAAGTCTTATTTAAGGTTAAAAATACCTAATAATTGAACAATATTTTCGTGATGTAGATTTCTCAAAATTTTTGTTTCGCTGATATTTTCCATATTATCATTGAAAGATTGTTTGACAACCACGTCTAAATCACATTTTAATCGAGCCTTCCTCACTAAACCAAATGCCACTACTTTCCAATAATTTTCCAAGTTTTAAATGGATTAACTCCCATTCCATTCGTTTAAAACTTTGCCTTTTTCTATATTTACTTTATCTTTTCCATTAGGTAATTTTTGAGAAATGCCAAAATCGGCAATTTTAATTTCTAATGTTATAGTCATTAAAAAATTCCTTGCTGCTAAATAGCAGTAAACAATATTATTTTCGTGTATTTCCATTAGCAGCATCAAGTACATATTAGAAGTAATTTTTAATTAGTATTTATGTTTTGATTAATTGTAAATATTGTAATAATTTTTAGAGCATACTTTCCCATGGGTATTTATGTATAAGGATTAATTAATTTCTCCAATATTAAATTTGAGTTAATTTAAATTTTTTTAATTTAATAGTTTAAGAATACTTTAAGAATAATAGTTTAATAATACCAATCAAAAATATTTATTTCAAAATATTTTGTTGTTATTATAATTTTTAAATAAATAGTATATGTAAATATGTTTAATAAAAAATACAAGAACATTGAGTTTCTATTTTTTGTTAAAATTGGTTCTCCTTTCCTTTTTTATATAGAAAATTCTCTTCTAAAATTCAAAAAAAATTTTCGTTCATTTCCTATATTCTGTTGACAAGTTTTAAGTTTTGGATCGAGGAGCATTTTAGATATAGAAAGATTTTTTTGTAGTGTACATTTGGATATTTTAAAGAAGAACGGAGAAAAAGTAAGGAGATTTTAAAGAAGAAAATTCTATTGAAAATATTATTTCTGATTTTATGTGTTAACCTTAAATTATGAAAATTTGAATTTTCTTAATATAAAATACAAAAAGTCGAAGAACGAGAAAAAATAAATAAAAAAAATTAGAAAACTTCAATGGCATTTTGCTGAAATTTTTGTATAAATAAAAATCTTCTAGCTGAAAATTCTATCTCAACTTGTATTATGTTTACCTCCCTTCAATACTGCTGTACGTTTATACGATAAAATTAGCCCTGTAGTTTAGTCCTGTATCTTTTTTTCTGTTTAGAGGCGAGAAATATTATAAAAAATTCATTCGGATATCTGACAGACTGTGAAAAAACTAAAACCAAACAGATCACAACATTAAATGACCAAGCAATATACAAACAACAGAAAATGAGAATCATGATGAATAGTAGAGTTGGGGTTTTCGAGTCGGGCCGGCGTTCGAGTCATTTTTCGTGCTTCATTTTTATCGAGCCGGCCCGACCGAGTCTTTTACGGGCCAAAATTCTATGCCGACTCGATCTTTCGGACCGGGCCTCCAACCCTAATAAATAGTAATTATAAAATCTCCTTAACCTTCCCCTCATTTATTCTTTTATGTATTCTTTTCTACCAATGGTCAATGGCGTATAATGGCCAGGGATTTAAATTATTATTACTTATGTAAGTCGTGATTTTTATAGACTGGATTGTTTAGCATTTTTGTGCTTTGCGCCATAACGGTCGCGCCATAGTGAGCTTGCGCCGAAGCGTTCGTTTTCCTATTGAAATCCTCAAAATTCTTTTTTTCAAAGTTCTTTTTTACCAATTTTATTTAGGAAATTTAAAATGGGCGAACTTGAAAATCAGCCAATTACTAATTTGCCCGTAGAAGATGATCAACAAGAAAATCATTCGGAAATTCAACTTGATGGAGTTATTGAAGATAATCCAGAAGAGAATAGTTTAATTTCATCAACACCTTGCACTGTTCCCTCTTCCTCAGACGTTTCTGATGATCCAGCAGAAAAATCACCTGTCGAGATTACCAATAGTGTTGATTTGGAAGTTGTTGCCAATGACAGTTTGGACACTGTGGAAAACTCGTTAGCCGCTGAGGCAACTGATGAATTGGCAGACAATACATTTCTTGCCCCGATTTCTGGTTGTACTGATTCGGTTTCCTCACAACGATCAGAAGGTTTTTTTTATATTTTAGAGAAGTTTGATGAAAATCTTTGTTTCAGTTAATGGATCGTTATTTGTTAAGCAAAAGGTTTTGAAAGCGCCTAACAGACAGTTTTTGTCTTCTGATGTTACTCATGTTCCTATTCAACCATCAGATATTATAGAATATGAATGGCCTCAAAAATCGGGAGAACGTTTTTTTATCCAGGTTTGCTTGGAAGATTTCTCTTTCCTATCAAATTCCTTAATTAACAGGAACAAATATCTGAACTTCTTGGTATCAGTTCTTTCAAACGTAAATATCCAGGTACTTTTTTTACTCTTTATACACGTCTTCAGAAAAAGATTTTTGATAAAAACCGAGTAAAAGGATGTTTGGAAGAATTTAGCGAGTTGAATTGAAAGGTTTAGTTCTGGCAAAGATTTGACTATTTGTGTCAATTTTTGTCTTATGTGAGCACAATCAACTCGTCAAACTTTTTTAAATAATCGTTTACTGATTTTTAGTATAAAAATTTTTTGAAGAATGGCTTAAACACAACAGGGATCTGGCCGACATAAAAATTCAATTCACGGTTTTAGGGAACTGGTCGGCTAGATCCCTGATACAGGCAGTTTTTCTGTGTATCAGGGCTGCATGCAATTTCGGATTGTTTGGATTTTTTGATCTGTGGGTTTCTGCTACGGAATTTTTTTCTATTTGCGAGCAGTCCTTTTGTGTATACACAGAGTAAACAACTATTAAATATATTCAGAAATGCATCGCCGAACTATTGAGCCAGCAGAACGAGATATGCTTTTAAAAGAAAAGAAGGTTCAAATCGCGCTAACTGCTCATCATTTGACAGCACTCCATGCTGTGGATGTTTACGAATTAATGTCATCAGAATATCCCGAAATATATTCTTCTTACCAAAAAGCCTGTAATGAACGTGTTAGGCAGGCTATGCTTGAAAAACAAAAAGAATTTGAAGCTGTAAATTTTTTGAATTTTTAAGAAATCTTTAAAAAATATTTTTTTTTAGATTAAAACGGATGCAAAAAAATTGGCAGAATTGCGACAAAAGGCTATTCAAAGTTCTTTTACTTTCAATTCTGATTTACAGGCTGTTCGGAAAGCAGAAAGAACACAATATTGGGAACTAAACACAAATGTTTGTTTGAAAAAAATTTTTTATATGAGTGAATCACCAATAAGCCTCATTTGTGTACGGCCTTTAGGACTAAATTTTATCTATCACATACCCATCATTGACATTGTCTAACAAGGGCGTAGCCAAGGAGTCAATTTCAAGGGGCTAAAATGGGGTATGCGCCAAATTTGGCGTTGAGAATTTTGGGATTGTAGAAGTAAAAAATTCACTTTTCTGCTCATTTCTCTCCTAAAATTTTTTCATTTTCCCGATTTCAGGGGGCTATAGCCCCAGAAGCCCCTGGCTACGTCCTTGTTGTCTGAATTACATAATTAAGGCACTCATGTATTAAAATCGGCTTCAGTCTACAGTGTGTTAAGAAATTATAACCCCCTTGAATTTTTTGTGTTTCTCTATCTTCCCGTTGTTGGATTGTTCTGAATTTTTTGCAGTAGTTTTGTAATGTATAATAAATAATATTTACAAAATATCTTTAAAAATTTCTGATCTAAAACTTTTTTATGGACGTTTTTGCAAAAAATTAGCGTTAATAAATTATAACCCCCCTTTATTAAAATTTTTGTTTTACGGTCAAAAAATCCACAAAAATTTTTCTGAACATATCTACCAATATAGATGAGAAATACAAAAGAAATGAAGTTCTTATGTACTCCCATCATCGAGATCTCGAAATCCGAAAATCAACGTAAAACGGGGGTAAAGGTCTTTAAAAAATATTTTCGACACCTTACAGGTAAATAAAAATTTTATTTTGGGCTTATCTGAAAGCCCTTAAAATTTGCTACAAGATACTTTTCATCTCATAATCAAGAAAAAATTCATCATTGAAAAATAATGAGTTTATTTTATAAGTTACAATTTTGTCACTTTTTGGGGGCGTTGGAGTGATTTTTATGACTTGAAAGTTTATCACTTTGTTCTCGACGGTGAATTTTTTTGTATAATGAGATAAAAACTTTCTTATAGCGAATTTAAAGGGCTTTTAGAAAAGTATAAAATAAAAATTTAACTCACCCTATAAGAGGTCGAAAATATTTTTTAAAGACCTTTACCCCCGTTTTACGTTGATTTTCGGATTTCGAGATCTCGATGATGGGAGTACATAAGAACTTCATTTCTTTTGTATTTCTCATCTATATTGGTAGATATGTTCAGAAAAATTTTTGTGGATTTTTTGACCGTAAAACAAAAATTTTAATAAAGGGGGGTTATAATTTATTAACGCTAATTTTTTGCAAAAACGTCCATAAAAAAGTTTTAGATCATAAATTTTTAAAGATATTTTGTAAATATTATTTATTATACATTACAAAACTACTGCAAAAAATTCAGAACAATCCAACAACGGGAAGATAGAGAAACACAAAAAATTCAAGGGGGGTTATAATTTCTTAACACACTGTACCCTATATCGAACGAATATTTGTGATGACCCTTGACCGTTTTGTACCTTTCTTTTTTATAGTTTCCCTTTGAAAAAATATCGAACGAGACTATTACCGAATCACCTCGTTCAACACCTCGTAACTCCAAAATATATTTTTAATAAAATTTCTAGATAATTCATTCACCGCTGAATAAATGGATGCGCGTGGCAAAGGAATATACTAAACCATCAATTTATCCAGTTTATTTAGTTCCTGGACAATATACTGATTACTACAAAAAGTATTGATTTCTTTAAAAATATTTTCTAAAATAAATTTTTAAGGTTTACTTCAACAGAATTGCGTTCTTTACCTTTCAATACTGTTTTAAATACGAGACGATTATTTCCACCCAAACGGGATTTATCACCACCATCAATTAAATTAACGGAAGAAGAACTGTCTGGACCTAAAGAAACAACAGAATCAACAATTTTGGATCAAAAAGACGCCAAAGAAGATTTTAAAAATACAATAATGGCAAGAGAATGTGATTCTCCAAAAAGTTTGCAGAGGCCTTTGCCTCCAAAAATGCGTAAAATTGGAGGGGACAACGGATTTGCTTCTAAAAAGGTTTTCTTTTTTTATAAATTTTTTTTTATTTTTTCCATTTCCAGAATTCAACTTTCTCTTCTTTTCCTCGTCCTCTACAAATTACTTCAGCCTCTTCCTCATTTTCCTCGAATATTCCTATTGCTTCAGTCAAACTTTCAACACCCAATTGCTCAATCTGTCAGCTTCCAGATGCTGGGTTATTCCAAGGGAAATCTGCTATGGTTAGATGTTCATCCTGCCAACAACGAATGCATTCTTCTTGTATTGATATGCCTCAATCAATGGTGGATATGATTAGGCAATATGATTGGCTTTGTATAGATTGTAAACGATGCTATGTCTGTCAACAACCTGACCAGGAAGTAATTTAAAAAAAATCTTTTTTAATCCAATCAAGGGCGTAGCCAGGGGAGGTTCTGGGACTATTGCCCCCCCCCCCCCGAAATGGGGAAAAGCAAAAAATTTTATTGCGTTTGGAACAGCAAAGTAGACACCCCATTTTAGCCTTATGAAATCGACCTCCTGGCTACGCCCTTGAATCCAATTAAATTTGAAAAATTATCCTTCTTTATTTTTGGGGGCCAGGGGAAATAAGCCAAAAATTGGCAATAGGTGATCAACCATGCTCTACACTATGGTATAAGCTTTATTTAAATATTTTTGGTCATAGCTCAATATTGTCCCTTGTTAGAATTTAAATTTTGATTTAAATTAAGACACAATCTTTATTTTAGGCTGCCATGATGTGTTGTGATTTGTGTGACCGTGGTTATCATACATTCTGTATTGGACTCGATCAACCGCCTAATGGTACTTGGCATTGTCCGAAATGCAAAGGTTTTGTTTAAATTGTTTAGGTTTAATAATTCTTTTTTTATTTTAAAGAATCTAACCATAACTCATCAACGACTATTGAAATTAAATCTGAAGTTAATTTGAGTCAAAAATGGAATTTTACAAATCAAATGGCTTCGGGCAGTGATCCACATGCAAATCAACCCAACGTCTCAACTCAAATAAAAATTGAAAAGAAGCCTAAAATTGAGCGGAAGAGAGGAAGACCGAGGAAGAAAGTATCCGAAGATGTTCCAGCAGGTGAATAAAATATCGATTAAATCCCATATTTTAGGCCCTTCCAAGGTAACTTTTGGGGAATTTTAATTAAATTTGTATTTGAAGACGTTAAAATTATTTTGATTTTTTTAAATTAAAATTCTCCAAGTATGCCTTGTGAAAAGGTTTTATTTGTCTAATTTACCTATAAAATTAAGAAAAAGTTTAAGAAACTCGGCAATCCAAATATTAATTATTTTGTAAATTATAAGAGAAATCCCTAAAAATGATTAAATTATTTTTGGAACACTTTTCATTATTGTAACAAAACGAATATAATTTTGGGGTTGTTCCTCGACGGGAATCATGGGGAATATTTTCGGAGCGCCATGATTGGAGGGGGGGGGGACGGGGAACAACCCTGGTATTTTTAGCGTATTTTTGGAAAAAATTTAAAATCAATTAAATATTTTGGATCGGTATATTTTTATATCATTAAACAAAAAATACCAATTTGTTTAATTTATTCAAGCAAATCGAAATTAAAAAATCGCTAAATTGTTTATTTCTAAATATTTTGTTTTTTACAATTTTAGTGAAAAAATGTTTAATAAAAGAAATACAAAAAACACTGAGTTTTTATTTTGAGTTAGTTAACAGAATATTTTTTGGGTAAAAATAAAGTTTGTTTCCCTCTCCCCTCTTTACCAAAGTTTGAAAATTTTGATCTTCGTCGCTTTAATTAGCTACGAATTAAAAAACTAAGGAAAATTGAATTTTGTTATTTTTCACACCTTGGTTGATATGGCAGTCAAATAAAAAAATCGAGAATGATTGGGAGAATACAAGGATAATACAAACTTTACTTTTACTAATTTTTTGTTTTTTTTTAATTATTCAAAGTTTGAAATTAAATTTCCTGTTAAAAAGGCTTGGGAAGCATTTGAGAATGAGAAATAATTTTAAGGTATACAAAGTAAGGAAATATTTCATAAAAGTAAAATGTCAGAAAAGTGTATTTTTCGGACTGAAAATTGTTAGATTTTTTTGCCAATTTTTTAAGTGTTTGGCACGCCACGCGACTATTTTGGCAAACAACCCTGAGTTTCACATTTTTCAATTTAATTTTCAGTAGGGGCCTCACACAAGGTATTTTATTAAAAGGCATTGCTTTTTCCCAATTAATTATTAGAGTATTAAGAAAAAGTTTTTTTAACTAAAAGAACATTTATTTAAGTAGAAGACAAAATATTTTACATTTTAAATTGTGAGCAAAAAACAGGAGAAAATGAATTATTTGATTGAATAAAGAGGTAAAAAGATTAATGCATCATTGGAGGGTTGGTCAACACCGATCACTTTTTAAAATTTTCTAAATCGGTTTTAGTTTTTTACAAAATCGCTAAATTTTTCGGTTTCATAACCAGTGTCTTGACCAACCCCCTAAATTGTTGTATAAATGGAAAAAAATATATATGGGAGAGAGAGAGGCGTATTTTAATTTAACAACCTATTTAAGTCTACAAAATATTTTTTTACAATTTAAATTAATAAAATAGTTAATTGTAAGTTTCTGATATACCAAAAAAGTATTTTTAGTCTAAAAAATATCCTCGCTACAAAAAACTAATTTTATAATTTAATTAGTAGGTAAAATATAAAATTTAATAAAAAAAATTATTTCCAAAAAGCTGGCAGCAAATTGTATATCGAAAAACGTTTTTTTAAATCAAAAGATAAAGCGGTACAAAAAAATAAACATGAATTGTTCAAAATATTTTTCAAAAAAAATTTTTCTGTAAAGGAACGAAAATTAAAAATTCAGAAATTTAGATATCTTATCTCCTTAAAATATACCAAAAAAGAATTTCTTTACAGAAGAAAAAAGTTTTTTTTATTTAAATTCATGAATCGTTTCGTTTTTTAAATTGCATAATTATAAATGGGAAGTTACATTTTTAAAAACATTTTTAAAATCTCGAAAAAAATTTTTTCTCGAAGAAAATGATTTTTCTAAAATTTTCATTAAATAATAATTGCCTTCAAAAAAATTATTTTTTATTTTTTACATTTATTTTTCCCTTCCTTTTTATTTTTTTACCTCTCTCGTTTCTTCCTCACATTTTTATTTCTTCATTACTTTTTTATCATCAACATAAAAAGGTTGTAAAGGTGGTGGAGGTGGTGCTGTTATAGATAAACTTGTTGCTGTTGATGTTGTTGGCTGTTCTTTTATTTTATTTATTTGTTTCATTTCTTCTTCTTCTTCCTTTTCATTTCTTCCTCTAAAATTCCCCCCTCTTTCCCCTCCTTCTCTTCTTTCTCCCAACAACATTGAAGACGAATTAATTGAAGAAGTAAATAAATTATTTAAACGACTTGTTGCTGTCAAATCAGGAACTCCCCAAATATTACTTTCTGCCATACTATCCAAAATTGGTTGAGTTTCTGTTATTATTCCTCCTTTATTTCGAATAGAACCATAACCACGATTATTTTTATTATATCGAGAACGAATATTTTGTTGTTGTTGAATTATTTCATTTGGATTTGTATTTATTGCAAGAATATGATTAATTGCTAATGCATTAAGTGACATCTCTGTTGCCTTGTTTTCTAAAAAAATTTTAAAAAATAAATAAAAAAAATTCCAATAATTTCAAAAAATCGAATATGGAGAGAACCCCATCACCCAAGACCCATATTTTTATTTTTAAGGGGCTGAAGGATTGTAAAATTAATTTTAAAAAATTATATAAAAATTATTATCTGATAGGTGTAAGAAAAAGGGAAAATGCTTAAGTATACAAAATTAAATTCATAAAAAATGCAGAACATATTATAGAGCCCCAAAATAACTTAAGACCCTTATTTTAATTTTTTAAGGGACTAAACAAATAATTTAAATGAATTCATGTTAAATTTAAACCTTGTTCAGTTCGTGGCTGTACTGTTGCAGACAATGAAGCTGGGGCTATAAAACTAGAAGCAAGTAACATTTGATGTTGTTGTTGTAAATTTAATTGTGAATGGATTGATGTTGTTAACATTCCACGCAATGAAGAACTGTTACTTAAAATATTGGCAAGTGATTGTTCTTGTAATTGGCGTTGTCTTTCAATTTGTGAAGCTGAGGGAGGTCCTCCAACACCGGTAAATGTCTTTAAATAAAATAATTTGAAATAAAAAATTAAAATTAAGGCAACGTCCAAAAATGTAGTAAAAGGGGAATAATAAAAAAAATCGTGTCAGGGATGGAGAAGTCCTTCCAAGTACTACATAACACAAGTTCAACGTAAAGATATATTCGAATAAAGGGATAACCTAGTGTTAAAAATTAGAATATCTAATTCCCTTGATATAAACTTTGAAACAGACAACTTTTAAAACCACCAAATACTCTCATTTAAAAATACAAAAATTCCAACCTCTTCCTCCTTCTGTTCTGCCAAAACCGGGCCAGGTTGTTGTTGACTAGTTGTTGGAGTCACATCATCAGAAGACTTTTGCATAGTTAAAGGGTAATTCTTTTCTGCGTTAGTTGGTAAAACAACACTTTTATTATTCGATCTTTGATATAATAAGCGTTGATTTTCCATATTTTCCAAAATTCCAAAAACTTCTGTTGAAACCTTTAAAAAAATTTTTTGAATTTTAAAGAAAAAAAATTCAAAAAATACCAAATCCTTAACATTAGCAATAAATTCAGCTTCAGGCCCAGTAGGCACCCAATCAGGATTTTGAGTAGCAAAATTTAAAAGAGACAATTCTACTTTCCCACAAGGTGTTCTTCTTCGTCTTGTTGAAACTTTAAATTTTTTGAATTTTTTTTTTTGAATTTAAAAAATATTAAACCTTTATTTTTATTATTTTCATTATCATCAGCACAAACAGATTGATTTAATGATACAAGTCGGGTATCTCCATCACGGGCAATATTCATTTGAGCAAGTGAACAAACATCACCGAGACCTACAAAAATTTGAATTTGACTTAAAATGTGAAGAGAAACAAAATATTATTTGAAATTTTTATAAGGGTTAAGAAAAGGAAGTACTTATTTACTAAAAGAAATTAAGGTTTTAAAAAGCTATGGCTTAATCTATTAAAGTATTAATTCAAATCTAAATCGAATTAGATCCCAGCCTTTAGTTTCAGAAATAACCAGGAATCTCAAGAAGTTTAGGTAAGGGAAAAATCCAGGGGTTAGTTTATATCCAGCCCGATTTCTAATGTTCATTTCTATTAATTTATCAATATTAAAACACTCTGTAGTCAAAGAATAATAAAATTAAAAAACCTTCTAAAGTGACTGTATTTTCATGTAAAAACACAACAATTTCTGGTACTCGTTTCCATACACTGAAAAAAATGGAAAATAATTTTGAGAATTCTCCTTCCAAAAACTTACCAAAAATAAAGAATAAAAGGCGAAAGGAAAGGGCTCAATAATTCTTCTATCAACAATTCTGTTTTCATTCGAAAAATTTGTACAAATTCTTTATGAATTTCAGTAGAATGTGCATTTGCAAGCCAAGAACGAGGCGCATAATGAATATTTGCAACAATCTTTTTTGAAAAATTATTATATTTTTTTTTAAAAATTAACGAAAAATAAAACTTGTTGCATTAAAAGATGTTGACAAAAAACCATATTTTCTTTTGGGATAAAAATACGAGAGATTAGGACAGCCCCACCGGTTATTGAAAGTATTGTTGTTACATGTTCAATCTAAATTTAAAAAATTTTTTTAATGAAGAGGAAACTTTGGAAATTTTTTTTGGAAGGGCAGGGGAGTGAATGGTAATATTCAATCTAACGGACCCCATTTTTTCCTCAAATTTCTTCCTATATATTTGCAGAATGGTTAGACTTCTTCTTCCATTTCCTTCCTTCATTCCAAGGGGAATAAAAATTAATTCTTTTGATTGTTTGTCGGCAATATATAGAAGGGAAATTTGGTTGAAAGAAAGAAAAAAGACTGACCATTCTGCAAATATATAGGGAAAACCATGGGGAGGAAGAAATGGGGTCTGTCAGGTTCTGGAG